TTCTCTAAGGAGATGAGATGTAGGGCAGCTGGAGCCTGGGATGTCATTGCGGAGCTATTTTGGTCAAAATGATAACAATTTGAGTCAGAAAGGGCAGAGGGGCATTCCCTGAAAATAGAAGGGTGCATTTCATAGGAGTCAAGGCGATTGTGTTAATATCATATATCTGGTTTTAGTTAGTCTACACATGCTGACACAAGTTTGCTCTCTTTTATAAATAGTAGAACCCCCCAAAACTAAGAATATCTTTCGCTGAGAGCCAAAAGGACGTTCACTCATTAATTCTCCCCTTTCTCTCTCTGTCTCTCTCTCTCTCTCTCTCTCTCTCTGTCTCTCTCTCTCTCTCCCTTTCCTGTCTGTCTCTCCTTATCTTTATATATCTTTCTCAATCAATCTCTCCTTCTCTTTCTCTTTCAATCTCTCTCTTTCTTTCTCATTCTTTCTCCTTCCCCCTCCCACTATCTCTGTCCCTGTCTCTCTTTCTTTTTCTGTCTTTTTCTCTTTCTATCTCTCCCTTCTCTCACTTCTCTCCCTTTTCTCCCTTCTGTCTGTCTCTCTCTCTCTCTCTCTATTTTAGTTCTTCCCTCTCTGCATTCATTTTCTTCGCTCGTGATTCTTCATCATGATTAAATCCTAAACCACCCTCCCCTCCCTCCCCCTTTATGCACATCCTTCCTCCTTAGCCTATCTCTACATAGTGGTGCCAGAAACATTATTCACTTCCATCCAATATTCAATGACCTACTTTGAGCTGTAGGGTGATCCTATCTTTTATTGAGCAGAAAAAAATGAATGTTGCAGAAAAACCCTCAGATTTCCCAAAGCAAGCCTCCGAATATGAAGTGGTATTCATGTTGAAACAAAATAGGCTGTTGACAGTTGTGTCGGAAACAGAGTAAAAATGAAGGACTTGGATAATTATACGTCAGAAAAACCCTAACAAATTTACTTTCTGACTTTAAGTCTATGAGATTCAGAGACTTTGGTGGTAAGTGCTTTATAAGTAACGTTTTTATTATTATTATTATTATTATTATTATTATTATTATTATTATTATTATTATTATTATCATCATTTCTTGGTTTAATTGGCATATTTCATATATTCAATTCAGAAAGTTTTCATGAAATCAGTGCTTGGTGTGCACAGCCATATACATTTTCTCTACTTTGCAAATATGTCAAGAGAGACCAGATGTTTATGGATTGTTTTCAATAAGTATTAAACCATTACATAATAAAGATTGGCTGGTGGGTTAACGTGACATACATGTGTCATAGAATTCAATCAAAACATACTCAAATACTCCTTCAACTACAGACGAGGTATCATAAGAAATTTTTCTGGAATTAGATTAAGAAAACTGTAAGTATTTATGTTTCTCAGATTAACTAATATATTTATATTACATGTAAAGTATCTATTTTGTATATACCTTTAACAAAAACATATAAATTCATTGTTTCGTGAAATATGTTATTTAGCAATGAAATTTTATGTTATTTTTAATTTGATTGTAACTTGTCATGTAATTCAGCTGAAGCTGCGATATGATAATAAAACAAACTGAATGGAACTGAACCACATACATATTCTCCCAAATTATTTTTAACATATGACGATTAGCTTCATAATATGTATCATACATGTATGTGTACACTCCTTTTCAGTATATGGTCATCATGTGTTTGTTTTTCTTCATGATGTTTCTTTAATGTCATATTTTCCCTTATGCGTATGTGGATAGGCTGTATGCGAGACATGGAAGTTCAATTTTCAAGTAGATATTTTCATGTGGATTCCAAAATATTTCTTTTACATCTTTAAGGGCGCATTCATGCTTGATTTTGACGGCCAGAATCAGGCATCTGTTACGCGTTTAGTTTAAAACACGGTTGCGTCTTAGCTCACTTTTTAATCACCGAAAAACGGCGATCACGATCGCCGATCGTAAACTCACAAAAAGATGCGTTTACAATTTGTAAACGCGTTTAAATGGGGTCAACGCACTGACCTCTAGTGGGTCTACGTAGCATGCACAGTGAAGGTTTGTGAATCCAGCTGGAAGACCAATTAAGGCCACACACTGAGAATTGCCTGGGCGAGCCAGAGAAGTAAGCATGAACACTACATCGTGGAACTGCGATCACGATGAGCGTTTACGATGAGCGTTTCAGATCGCTCATTCTGCCTTCAAAATTTAAGCATGAACGCAGCCTAAGACTCTCTTTCGAGGCAGAGTACATACGACAGGTGCCAGGGGTTAAGATCAGAGTTAGCTGATGAAAGTCGAGAGAAGGATATCCCTTATTAATATATAGACGGTCAAATTGATAGCTTTAAACATGTAAGGTCACCTGTGTGTACAAACCATGGGGGCAGAATGGGGAAGAGACCGGTACCCAAAATAGCATTTCATTCATCTTAAAGGAACTTTTTTTAAACTATTTTCACTGGTCATGAAAAGTTTTTTTGTAAGAAATAGAAAGGCTGAAAACCTCAAAGAAAATTTGACAAAGGGAAAGTGAATGTTTATCTTCCACTAAGTACCCTGTATGATAAGATTTATTTTTGTACCATGTACAAATATCCAGAAATCATTATCTATAGGAGTAATTTCAAAGGAAGTCAATATGATTGTCCTCCTCAGGTTAAAGTTTTACACTGCATTAAAGTTGCTCATCAGAAATTGCAATATTTTTTTGTGGGGGAAGAGGATCGATGGGCAGTGATAGAATTTAATTATACCATGATTCTGCTTTGTACATATTTGTTGTTCTTACATGGCTATCCTGTGTATTTATTTCTTGGGAAAGAATGAACAAAAAATATGAAGGTACAATCTGTTGAAAAACGACCAATGTTGTTGACAGTGGTTAGCGTTAACTTAATTTAGGACAATTTGATTAATTTCCTTCTTTTCCTGCCATGGCACTGTGATTAGGGTTAAGGATGAGACGGGAGGGGTGGAGATTGATTGGAGCAAGACGGAAAGGAGCTGGAAATATTCATATCCTCACTTGCTTGATTGAATGCAGAAGAAAGGGCTAAAAAAAAATTAATGAAGGGATGATATGCATATGGTGGAAAAATAATTCTTTTCTGAATTCATCATTCTTGAAAAATTTATATTCAATTGATTTGTGTGTTCTGGATAGGCTATTGGGTCACATTTTTAGAGCTAGAAAGGTGTTACTGCTATTTAAAATGCAATAAAAGTAGTTGACTTCCTTCAGCTGATTAGACATTAATAAGCCTTGATTATGACCCCTACTTGTGCTTTTAGACACCTCATTTTCCTTCTTTATGTGAGGTGGTCGAGAACTCGAAATCAATGACAGACAAATCCTGTGAGAGGGCCAAGCAAAGAGTCTTTATTAGTAGTAACCAGTAACAGACACATTACATATCACTAATGCCGATAATCATGGAGATCATGCATTCTCCAAAACATGTCATGTTATCAAATATTAAACGAGTAAATTTGCCCTTTAAAAACCAATTGCCACAGTACAATGTAGCTGAAACTCTTAACATTAACACAGGTAAATACCTGACCCAAATACTTAAACAACTGGAAGTAACAGTCAATATAAACCTCATATAAAGCAATACATTCACATATTTGGATAAACCAACACACCAAGCTAGGTTTAATAACCTTATCATGTGACCTCAATATCACTTCTTAATTCTTGTTCAATAAACTATACCTTTAACTTGTACATTGTAATATTAAGACAATGCAAATATCCTAATAACATAAACTTAAATAGGGCTATCCTGGTTCCCCCTTTTCACAGTAAGCACATATTAAAGAATGAATAATGAAACTAACAATATATAATAATAATGGAACAAAGACAAAATATCTCTGCTTTTAAATATCAGAATATCCCAAGTCCTGAAACATTGATAAATCCTGGAAACTATAAATCTCCTTATATCTGCATCAAATACACTTTCATCAACCAATCCAATTCAAATATTTATCTTCCATACTTTTCTTGCTTCCAAACAAACTCCAATAATCTCCTGGTCTAACCCTAAACATTGCTCTTACTCCTATTATTCCATCTCAATTTAACATGTAACAATATTCTTTTATAGCAATCTGCAAAATGAGAAATAAGGTTTACAATGATAGAGGGCGCTAGAAACCCTGAAATGGCTACATAGTCAGACAAAGTTCGATCTTCACTGTTTGAAGTGCCATAATTAATATCCCCTAGCTTAGCAACCAAAATACAAACAACATGCAATACTTTTAAACACTCAACTTCTATTATAAGCACTTCTTTTCTATGCTCCCTACCGTTCTTACTGACCTCATTCCTAAACCAAGACTTATACTCATCACATCAATTAGGGCGTACCCTGGTCCTGGTCCTGGCTCTGGGACCAGGCACAACATTAGCGCGCACGCACTACACCCAATTTTGGTACCGCGCGTTCAACTTATTAGTGTACATAACCATGTACTACAATGTAAATGCATATAACAAATCAAAGCGCTAAGCATCACACAGTTTAACATTAAATCCTCGTCTCCAATATAATCATATCAACCCACATGATACATCAAAATAACTACTGAAATCGTTCTGACACAATACACATATGTACATAACAAATCTCTAGCATAACAATATTAATATTTACTAAACATAACAGTGGTTCAAGTTTGGTCAACTCACCTGTGAGAGGGCCAAGCAAAGAGTGCTGGCTTGTCTCAGCACTCCGCCCTCTACAGGTCACATGGTAATTTCCTAACCCCTTACATTTAGTTTATATCTCTTTGTGCCAGAATGCAGATTTGCACCTGGCATTTGCTGTTTGGAGAAAATAATATTTATAAAAAGTTCAAATATTTTGCATTATGTGAAGTTCATTTGGAATGAGATTGAATAGTTATTGTAGTCTCTGCCATGGTCTATTTTATAATGCATATATAACAGGACATCTTTAAACCATTCTCTTTCTCTGTCATCTCTTGTAGGATCTGCGTGACGAGTGCCTGAAGCTCCATGGTAGAGTGCGAGATCTGGAAGTTCAGAATCGGAATCTAAGGTGCCTCTTTGATCAGAATAGGTTCAAACAACCCATCCCTTCCCCATTACAGGTAAGTCTAATCCTTCTTCTTCTCCTCCTTATCATCATCATCTTCTTTCCTTTTTCTTCTTCTTCTTCTTCTTCTTCTTCTTCTCCTCCCCATCCTTTTTTTCTTTTTCTTCTTTTCTTGGTTCTTTTTGTCTTTGTTTTTTCTCCTCTTTCTTTACTTCTTCTTTCTCCTCTCCCCGACCATTTTGTCTCCTTCTACTTCCTTTTCTTCTCATCCTGCCCTATGCATACTTCACCTCTCTCTCTCTCTCTCCCTCTCTCTCTCTCTCTCTTTCTCTCTCTCCCCTTCTCTCTCTCCCCTTCTCTCTCCCCCTTCTCTCTCTCTCTCTCTCTCTCTCTCTCTCTCTCTCTCTCTCCCCCTCTCTCTCTCTCCCCCTATTGGTTTCTCTCTTTTTGTGTGATAAAATATGTAATTTTCCATCCTTTTATTTTCTTCATTTCCTTTCATTCTTACATCCGCAGTCTTCTTCTCATCAGCAATATGGTTCTTACAGCAGTACCTCACCTGGCCTGGCAGGTTGTTCAATACCGGTCCTTACACCCTCAGCCTCGACCCATTCCTCCCCCTCACCGGCCTCACCTGGTCTCTATGCACCCTTCACCCATCCACTGAGGACCAAGCACCAACTATCAGAGCCTGGTCCTACCGGGTCAACCCCAGATAGTGGAAAGGACCCACCGCTTAGCCCTCACTTGCTCCAGGGCCAGGCTGTCAAGAAGGTACGTCTGTGAACCATCAAGAACTAAAAATGTAGCTCCATGACCTGTGGTTTGCCACTATGACTTTTTATTCTACCGGGTGTCTCATCTAGCTCTATCTGTCATCTTCTCTTCCTCTTTCTATCCCTCTACCTCTGTTATCATCTGTATACTTTCTCCTTCTCCTGTTGGTCTCTGTTTCCTCTAAAAATTGGACTAATTTGAAGGAGCATGACCAATTTTCAGGTTTTTCAAATAAAAATCTTTCATGATTTATATTCCAAAAATGTCTATGGAAATGAACATGTTAACTTGGCAACTTGGCAAAAATCCAGTAGCCTGTAAAAGGGAAAAATGAAGCAAATACATTCACTCTCAAAATCTTATTTGAAGTAACGCAGTATTTAATGAGCACTCAGGCACCCAAAGTTGACCTGCATTTCCACAATATCAAATTTCCAAATCAGCCGTATCTAAATCTTAGGAAGGAAAAGTAAATCATGACATGGCAAACTCGTAAAGTCAAGGCTAGGTTCGCATCCTTCCTTAGAAGTACATCTAGCTGTATAAGCGTGTATCCATCACCATGGAACTATTTTGTTATCTGAACAACTTTAGACATAATTGAAATGAAAAATACTTTTCTGAAATGATTTTTTCTTTTAAAATTATTAATGCAAAGAAATAAGTCTTTTCAGAATGACTTTAAAAACAGCAACCTTGTTTGAGATGACTATTGACAGTGAGATTGTAAGACAGTTACAACTGAATACTCTGTTGTATGAATTGGAGGCACTGATTTTGAATTTAATTTTATCTGTCCAGAAATTGTTTACATGAAATTTATTAACTTTAGTATTATTTACAGAACTAGGGATACCAACAAATACTATTCAAATGCATGAATTATTCCTACTAAGTAATCTTCAATCTTTTGTATTTGCAGCTTGACCATCGTGGTTCCCCCGGTGGTTCCCCCGTAAAGACATCAGACCAGTCCAAAGAAACCAATCCTCAATGTGACAGTTATCAAAGGCTAGTCAGACAGCAATACCAGCAATACCGCCATCACCATTCCCAGCAGCAGCTACAGCAACAACGCATTCTACCTCAGGAGATCTATCGGCAGCTATCGGCTCCGGCAAACTATCCGGCACCATCCTCTCCGCGTCAAGCCATGCAGCAGGGTAGGACACCAGGGCACAGGGGCTTGGATCAGATGTTCCCCTTCCTTCCATACCAGTGTGAAGTGCAAGGGGTGGAGGGTGCAGGCGAGGGGATGGGTATGGAAGACTACTCGTGGACCACAAGTCCTCCAGAGGCATTTCCATCATCCATCGGGCATTCGTCGTTGCCGAATACTCCATTGAGGATGGGTGTCCACGATGAGACTTTGAATGGTAACTTGCCCTTCAGTGGAAGCCTGGGGGCCAGGATTGCCAAGATGCAGGTTATGGGAGAGGATAGGCTCGGAAGGAACTCGCCACCAGAGGTGCCAGATGGGCGCAACGGATATGTCCTTGGCGATCAGTACACCAAGCCTTATGTACATGCACCGTTCCATTATGCTCAAAGTCTTCTCAAGGAGCTACAGGAGATCAGTGCCAGTGTTAAAAGCTTTGAAAGTCTAACGCTGGAGCCTAAAGCAAATCACCAGCAGAAAAGAAAAGCTAACGATGGCCAACCCGTCCTGCAACGTCAGAAACTTGCCAAGAACTTTTCACCGAGTGCTTCCAACGCAAGCAGTGATTCCCTCAATAGTGCTACATCCCCAAGACATCTAAATCTAATGGACAGCACAAGTAGCGTAACAAGCGTAGAGAGCATGGAAACAACTTTAGAGAGGATTCCACCAACAGTTCTCTCTCACAGTAGTCCTCTAAGACAAGAACATCATCTGCAATGGAGGCCTGAGTATGGCGGGAACAAGGTTCCGGATAGGACCTCTCAATTCCCTCCTGACACCCCGTCACCACCTACCACAGACATTGAACCGTCTGAAAGAGACTATCAACATTCTAGATACTTGCGGAGTCGGCAGCACAGTGGCGGTACACATCATCCAGAAAGAGATCATGAATTAGACAGCAATGTGGACGTTGTTAGTTCTGTTGGTAGGGGCAATGTGAACAAGGCTATTGATAGGTATCAAGAGAAGGTTAAGAATGGTAGAAGAGACACTGCGCAACTTCCTGCCAAAAATCAGGTTCCTGCTCTGAGTATGAGAGACAAGGATGCCATTAACGAGGCACAAAGGAACTTACAACTATCTCAAGAGAATGAAATGGCTTGTGGAAGGGTCTCACATCTACCGGTCAGGGATGATGGAAAACAGGGGGCATATTCTGTGCAGAATTCTAGCATCACACGGTCTAAGTTTGGCGGGATAACGGCACAGGTGCAGAAGAGCAGTACTGGGTATTCAGCTGAAAAGACAAAGTCTGATGAGGATGTGCTAGAAAGTGTAACAAGCACTGCTCAAGTAAAACCTAAGCTGAGTAGGCAACAAGCAGCTGAGTCTGTGAATGAGAATGTAGAGATGTTGCCAGGAGAGGGCAGCAAGCATCTTTGTCAGAAAACAGCAGAGAGTCAGCCTGTAAATAGTCTAGAACTGCCTCAGCTGAGAGACAATGACCCTAATGACATGTCTGATCCAATCTGGAAACGCAAGTCACAGATGGAGGGATATAGGTTGGTTGGAAACGAAAAGAGAGGGGATGGGAAAGTGGAGGTTGATGAAAGTGAAGATACAGACTCAAGAGTCGCATCATTTATGACAGCTCCAGATGGCAAAGTAAAAGAACAAGATGGAAAGCTTTTATCAAAATATGGAAACAGAACAAATGGAGAGGTCTCTCCTAAGCATTTCGCTGGCAAAATCCAATCTCCAAAAACGTGCAGAAAGTCAAGTTTACCATTCCCCATCCCGTCTGCTCTAACCTTGGCAACGAGTAAGCCATCTGGAGCGGGTCTGTCGCAGAGTGTGGGATCAATTGCTAAAGCAGATGTTAGTGCGGTGGATGTGATGAAATCAGCGCAGAGTGGAGAGGCAGTGCTGGAGAGACTGGAAACACACAAAGCAGTAATGAGAGATGAAAGCAGTACAACAGCGGGAACAAAGGACGAAAGTGCCTCAAAACCAGTACTGTCAACGGGAGAGGTGGAGGCTAGGAGAGATGAAGGGAGTAAGAGTTCTGTGAAGGTACAGGGAAATGTAGCGGGAGGAGAGAAGATAAGGCAACAGATCCCTGTCAGGACGAGTAGAGAAGCAACAGAGTCTCTTCTTCAGAAGACCAAGATGCAGTTCAACCGCGGCGAGGTTGGACGATGCTCTCTGGGGGCCAAGATGACGCAACTTTCCAAGATAGGTGCACCATCTCCTGCAGACCGCCCTCTGGTGTCGCACCATGCAACAGGACGTGGCCCTCTAGCCGCCATGGCAACATCAAGCAAGGCTGTGGATGTGCCAGTTTTGGACTCATCGCCACGGTTGCCAGGAAGACGGCAGATGACACCTGAGCATCTCAGAAGTGGCAGGGATGCTATGGGAGACATGGTTGAATTTACGTGAGTACATGGCGTGCATATAATCTGTTTTTAAAGCAAAATCATGAAATGTCGACATAAAATATGCCGTCTGTATTGGAGAACTTTTGTCAGATTAACCAATTTCACCATTGCATTATATTACATTCAGTGATATACAAATTTATGCATATTGCAAATAACCAATTTAAACAAAAAAACACTAATGGATTCTGAATATAGATTGAATCCCTAAAGAAAGATATTGTGAATGGAATTGTTGATGTGATTTTCCATCATTGATTCATGCAGAACAGATTACACTGAGAAATAGGATTACAGCTTGGTTGAATTCAAATGACAGAAGAAAGCTTCCTGGTTATGAATGCAGCTATAATGGATTGATAATATTGTAATGAAGGGAAAAAATAATCAACTCTCATTAAATCTGATCATCAATATTGAATCTATTTCATGGAATATTTCAGTTGGAGACGACTTTTAGAGTTATTTTCTCTGGCAAATCGCAGAGTAGATTATACATTTTGACAACTAAATTATTCATACCCCTTGTAAGTTTTGTAATTGTTTTTGTGTGTTTTTCATAACCCAAGAATGGTCTGGTTAAATTTGGGCCTTTGTTGAATGCTTTTAAATGTAATACTTAACAATTACAAAACTTGGTAAGGTTTTGAATAATGAGGGTGTTAATTGTATGTAATTAAATTAATGGTCAGGGGTACAGCAAGATATTATCGGCCTCTTGAGACTCACTTGAGGTTTTCTTCTTGACATGTCTCACTCTCCAGATAGTTGCCGCTGTGAAATCACTTCCTTACCAGCTGTGTTTCATCTTTCACTAATTTAGAAGTCTTTGTACGATGTATGTGGTCTCTGGCAGTCTTTATGTATTAATCATTTACATTGCTTCTCTGTAAGTCTCTTCTATTTCTGAAAGGCTAAATATCTTCCTCTCCATAGGCCCGCCTTCATCAGCTCGAGATTGCCAAATAACCCGCTATTTTAAATATCCCGATCGCATATTATCCAGCTAATTTGCGTTTTCATTAGCCCACAGTTGCAATTAGCGGGATATTTGCTCGAAATAATCATCCCAATAAATCATGGGCTAGTTTGCAAAATATCCGGCTATTTGTCTGGTGCGTCTTCACTAGCCTGAAGACTCGCTCTATGAGCGAACGTGAGCAAAATATCTCGAGCTTGAGTTTTGAGTTTTGAGCTGATGAAGACGCAATTTGTAACTTCGGGCTTATCCTGCCAAATCAGAAATACCAGGCTATTTGGCAATCTCGAGCTGATGAAAACATACCTCATGTGTATAACTCTCTCTCTCTCTGTTGTCTCATCTATCCCGTTGTCTTCCTCCCATCAATGCCTCATCTATACCTCCTGCTATGAAGGACACATAGTCTCATTCCATGCATAGCTTGGTATTAAGCTCAGCCATGTTGAGAGGTTAGGTACATCAGTAGAAGATGTCCTGTTCGTTTTTAAATTCCTCTTACATTACATTACATGTCCGTTTGACAACTGCCACAGAGCTCAGGTTTAAAGGCAACGTTCAGGCATACACGGTTGTAGGACAGCAGCGAGAATCTGTCTTGTCACTTTCATGATTTCAAATTAAGAACTAGACATTATCCTTTTGAAAGCAATATTTTACAGCATCAGTTATGTGAGATTTTTTTTTAAAGAATTTTATACAAAAAATACCTTCAGGTATTTTGAATGTGAACTCTATGACAGTGAGGGAAACATATGCATTTCTGATATCTTGACACAACAATGTTTCATAGGGCATTTGAAAACTGGAGAGAACTGGAAAGAAAATCCATGTTCCGGTTTCTTATCTTGATCTGTTGTAATGAATGTTTTTAAATAAATATCTGTGACTCTTTTGTATTACAAATGACTAATTTAAAGTTTATTACTGCTTAAAGATATGTTTCATTCGATTTAGGCCAGTATTTTTTTCCTACTTAAAGGAAAAGATATTCTATATGGCGGAACTTGATCTTCGTAAACGAAGGCTCTAGAATAATGATGGGACTGTGTGAGGGAGATCTGTTCCTGAATATTATCTTTAAGTTGATCTCTTGTTTCTTATCTGTCAGTCATTAAGGTATACATGAGGCTGTCCCTGCATTACTGTTGTTCATCCGAGATGGTGTCTTCATTTCTTGGGTATTTGTTTTCATCTAGCTCTATCTGTCATCTTCTCTTCCTGTATATATTCCTCTGCCTCTGTTTTCATCCATATACTTCTCCGTGTCCTGTTGGTCTCTGTTTCCTCTAGCTATCAATGTCTCTGCATGATCCTTACCTGCTCCTCCCTCCCTCCCCTCTCTCTGTCTCTACCTCTACCTTGTGTTCCTTTTTTATCCTCACTTTTAAACAGTATCTATCTTGAAAGCTCTCATTCCATCTATTCCTTTCTGCCATTCTCAGACTCTTATATTTTCCAGTTCTCTCTATCAATACCCTATCTTTCTCTCCCCCTCTCTCTCTCTGTCTCTCTCTCTCTCTCTCTCTCTCTCTCTCTCTATCCCCTCTCTCTCTCTCTCTCTCGCTATCCCTCCCTCCCTCATTCTCTCCCTCCCTCTCTCTCTCTCTCTCTCTCTTTCTCTATCCCCCTCTCTCTCTCTCTCTCTCTCTCTCTCTCTCTCGCTATCCCTCCCTCCCTCTTTCTCTCCCTCTCTCTCTCTCTCTCTCTCTCTCTCTCTCTCTTTCTTTCCATCTCTCTCCCTTTCTTTCCATCTCTCTCCTTTCCTGTGTTATGTTCTGTTTCTCTCCTCTCCTATCACCATCCTCTGTCCTGTCTGTTCTGTCACATCCGGAGCTGACGTTAGTCTGACTCTGGAATCCATAACATACACACACACACATAAGATCACCATCTTCATTAGAGGTCTGCTAAACCTTCTTGGATTTAGAATGAGGAGTTATCTTGCACTGCTTCACAAAAAGGAACCCAAGGACATTGTGTTTCTTTTATGTCTCACAATACTTTCACATAATGCAAATGGATTCTGAATACTCTCCCATTTTGTGCTCTTTTGTGGATTATGTTTGTTACTCTGACTTCTGCGTCTCCCCTCCGAAGGCCAGTTTGATATCCATCAAACTGATATCTCTTTCACTCAACATTTATGATTTGCTTTGTACAAGTAAGGAGAACCATGATTAACAGGAGCATCTTACAGATTTGCCTGCAAGGAATTTCATTATTTGCTGCTCTATGGTGATAAACATTTCTGCTGGTTTTTGGAGATCGACAGACTTGAGATTAAAGCATTTCTGCTAAATGTATATTACCTTTCAACACATAAGGTTAGCTTTTCTTTTCTAGCAGTGATAATACTTTGCTATGGTAACCTGTAATTCAAATGAAATTTCTGGTAGTGGTACTATGTTGATTTGTCATGAGATTTCAGTACTGATCTTCCGTTCTAGATACAGCAGATTGTGTTGTGTACCTGATGTGATACAGTCTGTTCAAGATGGGGTCATTCGGAGAGACTTTAGTTTGAGAAGATGGCAGGGTTGTATAGAAACAAAACAGGACGTGGTCCTCTAGCTATGGCTGCACCTAGCAAGATATGAAAGATAGCTTACGTTCCACTCCTTTTGTGTACCTATTCCTTGTTATTTGAGTTCTAGCAGATAAGAATTATTTTCCTGAACTGTAACTACCAAACATGTATATGTTTTCAACATTTTTTTTTATTGTGAGTTAGTAATATAGCATGATAATATAAAATCAATATACATGTAACTCATGGAAAAGTGCAGGCCCTGAGAGGATATTTTAGGGCAGGATCCTTGCAGATCGAAACAAAAAAAAATCCAAAAAATTTGGAAATGAATGTCTTTCTTTTTAAACTAATAAAGCTAATAAAACAGGACATTGGTGCGCTAACAAAATACAGACACTTTGAATTGAGCGTAACAACTTTTGAATGCAGTAGGGATTGTAGGTCCTTATCAAAACATTATCATCAGCAAACCAGACATTCTTAGCCACAAAGGGGGCTTGATCCCATCAATTTCGTTGTTAAATGGGACAATCAGAGACAGAAATTGTCTAGTCACAATAGTATTAAACCATGACCCGGATTACTCCTGTGAATAACTGATGTTAAACTATTGTAAAGAGATAACCATTTTGAGACGCAGGTGCAGGGGTATTCTGATGGTTCTGTCATGGATATAATAAATAAGCAAATGAAAATACATACATGTACATTTCTGCCTTCTGGTAGTGGAATTAATGCTAGTAATCAAAGATATCTTATCTTTGGTTTTTCAAAGCTAGAATGACATAGTATATGAGATAACTACCTCCCGGCCCAAAACAAGACCAAATTGTTGTAGAAGGCCATGATTTTTCAAACCACATACAATTTATCCTTCTATATAAGCATGGTTAAAGACTCTATGTCCAGTTATCTTTATCTAGGAACCATATAAAGGCATCCTGTTTTTCATTTCACACATTTTGATATATTTAGGTGAAAATATTTCAGTCCTTACTCATCAATGTTTGCTGAACACATAACACCAGTCATCAGCTTGCATTACAAAACAGTGTAGCGCAGAATATTGACCATTGCACAATTGTACTGGTATGCTTTGCGTAATGCAAATTCTATCATGCTCTGCATAAATCCTAGGGCTTTAGTGAGCATGATCTGTTCAGCTGTTGCGTTATTATGACCATGGATATCCATGTTATGACATAAAGCTGCTGCAGTATGGATGTATTTTTATCCTGAATTAATGAACATCATTATCCATATTGATTTTAAAAGCTCACTGCATGTAGAGGGGTATTGGAAAAGGTAACAAAGGTTGCTGAAGTCCAGGATTTTGGGGTATTTAATGGGGACTTGCGGCAAACATTTTGAACAGTTCTCATGGTCTGCACCATTTTCAGAACTCTTTTCATACAATCTACATATGATACAGGAATTACTTGAAAGTAAATACATCCCCCTCCCCCCTAAAAAAAAAATTATATAAATTGAATTTTTATACATTATTTAACAGGTTTTATTTCAGGTGAAGAAATTCCCTTTAACCATTATGAAGGGGAAATAACAACCTGTGACTTTTCCGTCCTGATATTAATGGCAAATAATAAATTGTATGAGTTTCAGAATTATTTCATAGTAAGGAGGAAAACATATCTTTCCCCCTGAGGCAACAACTTGGGTCCAGGGTTTTGTCAATATTTATGAAGTTCTTCACAAATAGAATATCTCTAACTATCCCGATATGACATTTATCAATATTGATACTCCTCTTAAAATTGCCCTCTCATTCTTATTCTATTGCAGACTTTGTGCTCTTGATTTGGCAAAATACCAGCAATATTTTATCCTTTTCATTCGTAATCCGCACTCAAAACAGAGTGCTGCACTAGAGGTTAAAATGAAATTCCTCAAAGCAGTCTATTCTCATTGCCATATTTATGGCCGTCATTTTTTACTTAATTTTTTTTATTTCATCATAATGAGTTGTTTGTGTACTCATTTGACTGTGCTTGAAACTTGCACCAAGCATGTTATGATGGTATTAACACTGATTTTGAAATGGTAGAAAATCATCACAAATGTTTTGCTTTCATCATTTCCATCATAATATGAATGATATGTGGGTTGTTTAGACTTTTCATATCTCTCCTTGTTATCTACATGAACCTTTTATTACAACTACATGTGAAAGAGTGCTCCAGTGAGCATCTCCTCAATGGGATCATATCTTTAGCAAGCCTGCATGTCCTTATGTAGCCTGTGGCCATGAAGACAATATGAAGACCAAACATATGGACGAATCAATCTCCACTTTTCAAGATCTTATGTGAATAAGTGCCATTGAGCTCTTCATTTTCCATTCTGAAAGCTGAAATCAAGTATAACCCCATTTTTAGAGGGTGTTGAGGTTGATTCCCATTAATTTATCCCCAGCTATGCAGCCATGCAAAGGGGCTGCGCACCACAAGCATATGCAGGTACATCAGGCAATGGGAACAGCGCTCCTGCACTTGTCGGTCTAGAGTCAAAGTTATTCTATTGTCGTGAATGGTAGGCATCTCATTGTGAACGTGAACTTAGCCGTGAGTGGCTGCACAATGCAGCGTACAGGGAGATCTGTCATATCAGCGGGGGTTACATTCATCTCTGGTTTTAAGTGTCATCTGAGGTCCTTTATGTCATGATGGGCCAATTGATTGTCTAGTTCCTTCTTTCTCTTTCTCTTTCTTTCTCTCTCTCTCTCTCTCTCTCTCTCTCTCTCTCTTTTCTTTCCCCTGGCTTCTCACTCACTCTTTCCCCCCCTCTCAATCTCTTTCACTCTGTCTTTTTCATTTTTTTTCTTTCCTACCCTTTCTCCATCCATCCATCTTTCTCCACCCACTCGCTTCTCTCCCTCTCTACCTGATATATATATTCTCTGCCTCTTCTATTTTTCTCTCTTCTGTTTATTCTCTTTCTCTCTCATCCCTCTCTCTTTGTTTCTTCTCTCTCTCTCTCTCTCTCTCTGCTTTCTCTCCCTCTCCTTTTCTGTTCTTTTTATTTACCTCTCTCTCTCTCTCCCTCCCACACTCTATTTCTCTTTCTCTCTGTTCTTCCCTCCCCTCTCTCTCTCTCTCTCTCTCTGTTCTCCCCCTCTCTCCCTCCCCTCTCTCTCTCTCTCTCTCTCTCTCTCTCTCTCTCTCTCTCCCTCCATCTCTCAGGATCTCTCCTTTCATTGGTTGTAAACCTAGTTAAATGGCTAGTGTCACCTTGTAGTTGTTCACTCAGCGGGTTGTCATTGGACAGAGTGATACCATAGCTGTGACAGTGTGATTGTGAGTGCAGAGTGATGTCTTCAACTAGAGATCCAGTATTGCATTTCTTACTGAGTTAATGTATTCAAACAGGAGGATATCATCAGTTAGAACTTGCAGATGGCGGACATATTTCAGAGTTTGATCCGACAGAATTTAGGGTATATCTCCTGTTTTGATCATCGCCGCAATGAACTTCATACCCTGGCCTAAGGCTGCAACATACATGTACATTTTTTTCTGTTGTGATATATGTGATGAAACTGGTATAAACACTGAATTAACTTGTCATCCTCATTGTTTCAAAACGAATCTTGATCAAAGTGAGGTAGCATGGTCTTCTTGGCTGAATATGATCTGTGCAAGACAGTCTGCTTTTAACAGAAGACTGAGAGGACGGTATATTTCCAACCATTCAGTTTGAAGTTTGGACCCCTCCGTATCTCAATCCACATGCAAGTCTGGATTTCCTTGTGGATCTATAAAGGATGTAACTTTTGGATTATGGAGTATTTCCCTTTGAAGTAAAAATTGGCATATATATATACTGCATTATAATGAGGATATGTATGTATGCATATCTGTGGATGTTTTTGGCCTTGTACATTTCGCAACTAGGAAGGAAGTTTGGAATCCTGTGATGGATAGCCTTTGATTGCAATTCTCCCTTGCTGCTACACAACCATGGACGTGAAGGAATTCTCTTTGTGACAGAAGATTTATTGGAATTCCATTTGCCTTTTGGGTCGTGTTGACAATGGGATTGTACAAAATGAATAATGGAAAGATGAGGTGAGTTTTAGAGGTTGTACGGCACAAGCTCCTTCACAATTTCTTTGTGGCAACTGCAGGACACTTTACCTTATATTATTAACCTAAAACCCTAACCCTAAACATATTTGCAGCCCTAACCCTAAACTTATATAGGCCTACTTTCGACTGACATGAGCGCTATACAAGAACCCATTATTATTATTATTATTATTATTATTATTAAATAAAGTGTGGATCAATTTTCACAGGAGCAATCGTTGAATCACCTTGTTGCAAGGTCTTCGGGAATATTTATCTAGGTGATTGGGTCTAGGGAACCTCTCAATGTTTTGTATCATTTTACCAATCAATTTATTTTCCAATTTGGTTCCAATGGTTGAGCACCAATGAGCCAAATCTGTTAGATGATGATTTGAATTGGCTTTTTTTCTTGTGGTTTGTTTACCATGTGGCTGTAGGGACATATGGCAGTTTTGTATTGCATTTATATAAACTGGAGTGAAGGCACTTGTCATATTCACTGTGTAAATTCTTGATACTTTCTCAGACTTCTTTTTAGCAGTGTAGACACACGTAGGTCTATAAATAGATGAGGTGAATTATTCCACCCGCCCCTCCCTTCATTTAACCCATTACTTACTAGAATAGTGTGGCTCCTGTATTGAAGCCTATGGGAGATATAAAACTCAGTAATCAATGGGTTAAACAAACCAACATGGCTCTACATCAACATTTCTCCAGGGGTCTAGAGCAAATTACTGGAGGTTTGTGTGCACCAGACATCCTTATTAATTTGATATTTTGGCAGTCTTCAGTGACATAAGGAGAGGAAGGTCTGTTTTACAGGATTCTGGCCTGATTAGAATCAAGCCCAATTTTTACCCATCATTTAATCTTGTATCCTCACTCCCCCCCCCCCCCCCCAAAAAAAAAAAAAATAAATAAATAAATAAATAAATAAATAAAAAAAATATATATATATATATATCTCTGTTTATAGTACTAGGTATACAATAATATTAGGTATGGTGAAAAGTAATTGAAGCCATAAGCAGTCACCCATAACAAATCAATCAAACCAAACCATCAAAGATCAAATATTATAAGGGAATGCCATTATTATTTCGATAGCTATAAATGCTGACAAGTTGATGGATGAAAGACGTGTTGAAACGAGGGAAGCTGCTGCAATACATCACTCCACTCTGCAGTGTACTTTTGTCTTGATAGGTTATGTATACATTTCCATAGCGACAAAGATAACAGAGATTTGTACATGTGTATTATCAATGTAAACATGAATGAGTGTGTTAGGCTCATCATGAATAGAATAGGGATGCAATGTTCTCTCTGAACTAGATTTTGGTCTGACGCCTTCCCTCGCATTGTTGGTTTACTCTCTCTTTTTCATCCTTCTGTATTTTGCTCTAATCTTTAGTGTATAATGGATAAATGGAAACAACATATACATTTTTTTCTTTCTATGGCCTCAATATTTATAATTTAAAGAAATGATACTTTTATATGTAGCTCTCACTTTTCTTTCTCTCTTCCTCTCTCTCTCTCTCTCTCTCTCTCTCTCTCTCTCCCTCTCTCTGTTTCTATGTCTCTCTCTTTCTCACCCTTACCCTCTGTCTGTAAGTCTCTGTATCTTGATTTATTCATCCACCTGGCTCTCAATCAAGAGGATGAGGTTTGAATCCTAGCCAGGCAATAAGACTTTATTAGTTTGGATATCTCCCTTTCTATCTCTTGCTGTGGCTATCTCAGACACTTATCTCTTGTCTATTTATTAATCTTATACTGACTCTTACAATACTTTGATAATATTATGTAACAATGATATCATCTTACTCTCTTTGTAGTTCTCAGAGCATCGAGGAGAGGGCATCAGTCCAGAGCATGTCAACGGAATCCCTCCAGTCAGCTAACTCCTTAGGATCATCGGCCGACTGGGATTCACCGAGCAAGAACAGCTCTACCTCCAAGCAGCCCTCTACCCCACTGGTAAGATCAGGTTACTTTTCACTGAAATCTGTCAGGCTCTACTGCAGAATAATACTCCACCGTGCATGTTGGAGCTGAGTTTAGGTTAAGGTTAGGCGTAAGGTTAGGTGTAGAGTTATGGTTGGGGTTAAGGTTAGGTTTAGGGTTATGTGTAGGTGTAAGGTAATGTGTGGTGTTAGGGTTAGGGTTAATGTTAGGATAAAGGTTAGGTGTAGGTTAGGTGTAGGTTTAGGACTAAGGATCAGGATTAAGGCTGCCAATACTGCTGCGAGATTGTATATTCTTCTGTTGTTCCACCCAACAAACCTGTGAAGGTTCACTTAGCAGCAGAATGTACACACAATTTTTCTGAAATTCCTTAAAAATACAGGGGCAATTTTTTCAGAAAACTGTGTTTATTTTACAAACCATGATCAAATGAAAATGAGGGGTGCTTATGTTTTTTATATCTGCAAGGTTATGGTATTTTAATATTGGAATGCTGAGGGTAAGTATATCCTTGAGCCTTCTGTAAATCTCCTTGAAAGTGTAAATATAGAGTTTCTTGATAATTAGCCTCCTTTAAAATGCTAAAAAGAGGGTTGCAGATATTCATATTTCTGGATTTTGCATTGAATACGGGAGTCATTAACAAAGAATATTATGCGAATAGTTAAAGGACTGTTTCCATACTTATCTTCAGGATGAGGGGAAAATATTCCAAAATGACTTTCTAATTTTCAATACTTTTCACCATTTCCCCCCAGTCATCATGTGTTACAGTACTTCTTTTCTTCTGCCTTGAATATAAGAAATGTTTTAGATCATTTTCATCTTGTTTCTTGTTTCCAGGGCAACCTGTTATCCAGCGATTCAGAATCAGAGGAGGAGGAGGAGAGTGTTAACTTTGTTGATATGTGGAAGGCCAGATCTACTCCGCCCATTAAACTACCAGACTGGGATCCAAATAAGAGCATTGAGGAGCATAGGAAGAGGGTAAGTTTGCCCCCATTGGGTCATAATCACACCCCTTCTAACCCCTATAGGGTGCAGGATAAGAACAAATATCTTCTATTGTTGTAGAGAAAACCTTCTCTTTTATTTAAAAAAAAATGTGGGTACATGTAGGTTGTGGAACAAAATGTATTGGCACATAAAGGTTCTTCCAAAAAGCAAAATGCTTCATTGATAATGATGTCTTAGTTTACCTATTACTAGAATGTATAAAGAGATACAGTGCTTATTTAATGTGGCTTGAAATTGCCCTATTCTTTCTACATAATAATATGTACAATGTAGAGACTAAAACAGATAGATGTAAAGGGTTTTTTATCAACCCAATATATTGAAATACAATGATCCTTATTTTACATGTCAGACAGACACGATTAGAATCCATGATACTGCACCTGGCTTGCAGCCATAACATATAGATCTGTTTTTCTCATATGTGTGAATCAGACTCTAAATGTGCTGACTACTTCAATAGATCAATTGATCTCTTTTAAGTGGCAGGTGCATACTACGTCATGGTTTAAAAGGACCAGTCCAAAAGAATGCTGGTATTCTATGTTCAAGATATCAGCTTTAGATACTACTTCTGTACAGATATATAGTATATACCACAATTCCATTCTTAATGACACTAAAAACTAATTTTAAACATTTATTTATTTTATTTTGTTTCCAGGAATCCAAACGGTGTAACAATAATGAAGAATACAAGAAAACAGTGTTTGATAACAAATACTACAACAAAGAAAATTAACCATCAAATTATTCCTGTGGATTACCAAAAGAAATCAATTATCTATTTGATACTCTTCTTATTTGCTGATGGTATGATACCTAAATAATTCAATACTTAGAGATTAATAGGTATGAATAATATTACAATATAATAATTACAAACTTTCAGTAGACTGTGAAATGAAGTATGCGCTCAAACACTTTTTTTTTCTCACTGATTTTGCAGGTGAGGGAGTCATTAGAGAGATCAGAGAGCGCCAGTTCAGCATCTAGTGAGCAATGGATCCTGAGCTATCCCTTACCAGAAGACCCCTTGACCAGAGGTGGACGGTCAAGCACTACGGCACCAAGCAGCAGGCAAAGCAGTGTGGGCAGTATGACCAGACAGGACTCTTCCCATTCTAGATCAGGGGTGAGCTGCGATGCGGACAGGAAGATCCTGCAGGAACTCTTGGAGAAGGAACGGAAAGCCCAGAGCAGGAGCAACAGCAGCGATAGCAGTCCAGAGGGGAGAAAGGAGAACCAGCAAGTCGAGGGTTCAAACCTCAGTTTAGGTGACAAATCCATCATGTGTGATTTCATGTCCAGCATAATGGCAGAGGTGAAACTGGAGGATGCTCGTCCAGGAGGGAAACCAAAATCCAAAGGGTCGAAGGATGATTTGACCCGGCCCAAGAAGCTGAGCAGTCCGTTCATTAGATCTCAGAGTATGAGAGCTCCACCAAAGCCATCAAGACCAGAAAGGACAAGAATACCAAGTGGTGGAAACAACAAGGTTAATACAAATATTCCAAAGCCACAAGCTGCCAATAGCAAGTCTATTGCAAGTGCCAAGAAAATGGACACAACTAGTACTAAATCACCAAAAACTGTTCAGCAGAATCATTCATCAAATGAAAGCAAAAAGAGTGGAAGTGGGCTGACGAGAACTTTCATGCCCAAAGCTTTCACAAAAACTGCTAATAAAGCTGCATCAGACAGTCCTAATACAAATCCCTCACGGTCTGGAGTTGCCAGTCCTGCAGCTTCAGAGAAGCCTGGAGGAAAGACCAAGAAATCAAATGTGAAGAATGGGAAAGGAAAAGGCAAAGGGAATGAATGTACTAAGTCAACAGGTGCTAAGGACCCTGAATCAGGTAACAAGGAGTCCAAGAGTAAAAGTAAAATACCTCAGTTAATCAGACAGGGTTTCAAACCAAGTCCATGGAAAGGGGATTCAAGTAAGAAAAAGGGCACATCAAGAAAAGAAATCGTTGTAGAGTCTCCTAAAACATCACCAGCAGGGAGCGAAATGTTGAGGACAGAAACTCCATCAGATTCCAACAAGAGTGCTTTCACAGAAGTTTTTTCTCTGACCAAACAATCAAGCTTCGTTGTAGACAATGTGCCTTTCATTGATGATTCTTCTAAAAGTCCTAACAAAGATAACAATCCAAACCAGACTCCTTCACCAAATGATGAGAAGAATCCTTTCACCAGCCATTTAGATCAACGAGGTGAAGCGCTCTGTGGACAGTCTCCTAAGCTGAGTCCTAGGCTTCTTCAGAGACTACGTGCCAGTGGGATTGAACTTGCGAATAGCAGCGGTTCTGACAATGACTCTGTCTTCCTTCCAGATGAACCGCGTCCTAGTACGCTGCAGGTTGATCCGGCACTACCATGTCAGATGAGTAACGGTAGTGTTACAAGGCACTGTCAACAGACAGAAAGAACAGAGAATGGTTCGTCCTCAGAACTGCACTTAGATCAGAAGGAGATTGAAGACATCAAGAATGGACTCCTTGTAAGCGAATCTGATGCTCTCAGCATTGGCAGTTGGAGTGCTAAGTCAAGTGAATTTGGGCTTAAGAATTCCTTTTTGTTTGGGAATGGGGATTTTGGAAATGTTGGGACGCCGACCAGCAGAAGCCTTGGTCGAGGAAGCCTCGGGAGAGAAAGCATCGGGAGAGGAAGTATGGCGCCTTCTGTGTCGTCCAACCCTGAGGATGCCACAGGAGGAAGAGCAGCAGATGACGAGGTGGATCCCAAGAAGTATGACGTTCCTCTGGTATCCACTGACATGATGGAGGACTTTGAGGCTGAGGATTTTTGTGATGAAGATGGGATGAGCAGCGACCGAGAGAAAGAGGCACAACTCACGGAAAAGGTAAGTACAAAATCAGAAGTCTCATGATCTCCTGTGTCTCCTACATAGAGCATTATTTTGACTTTTGTCAATAATATTCCTATATATCATACAGTAAATAATTATCTAATGGAAGGAGAGTGTCTAGGTATTCCAGTAATTACAAATCATATATCTATGTTTGTAAAACTCATTTAGATTTGATTTCAATTTGCAAGAGTACATCAAAGGACTATATGATAAGTGTTTTTAAATGTTTTTAATCTCAAGGTTATATTTGTATAGTCCTAGGAAGTTTGATATTGTGGCCTCTACCTAAATGTTAGGACATACACATTTGTTTCAAATGGCAGTGACCAAAATATTTGAATTTCTACCCCAGCATTTCCCCTGGTAATGACCTGTGATATAATGTGTTATAACAACTAAGCTGCTATCATCATGTGAACTTGTCATGTTGATTGGTGTATCTCTTTTTGCTCCATCAGGAACGGGCCAACCTTCTGGATTCTCTCTTTGAGAGCGATGATAGCGAAGGAGGTCTGGATGGCTTCTTAGATGAATCCAGTGAGTCTCTTCTTGACAGCCATCCTGATGAGAAAGAGTTCATGAAGCTCCTCGGTGATAAAGGTAAGTAGCTTTAAATCTCTGAAGGCAGATTATTTTGTCCTAATCCTCTGACAATAATGGAATAGTCTTCACCATCTAAATAAAGATTTAGAAATCCCCTACTGGGGGTTTAATATAGAGCTGCCTTGGAAAGCCAAGATGTTCTGGTATGCAAACACATTTGCTTTATTACAGTTTGTTATACTTTGAAGTATTTGTGCAGGTTTATCATGCATATTCATGTTCATTTAATGCTTTGGTTCTTCATGAATATCAGTCCTGGCACAAATAAAAAAAATTAAATTCCAATGATTTGACACATTAATGTGTTTGTATGAACTAATTTCAGTCTCAGTCATTGCAAATACAAAAGTTATGATAATGTTTCTGCCTTTTGTTCCAGGAATGAAGAGACAAGTGGTACGTCAATCTGTATATTGCCGGGTGTCCCTGATTCAAATGGACGTCTTCTCTCTCTACAATCGCTTTGATGATCAGGAGAAGGAGGCCCTTGCTTGCTTCGACTTCCTGGAGGAGATGTACATGAACAATGCTGGTGAGACGCTCTTCACGGACGACCATCCTTTCTCTGTGATCAGTCCTGGTGTCAGGAGTGGGAACTCGGAGGGTTATGGTAGCAGCGGTGGGATCGGTGATCAGTTTGGTAGTAGAGGTACCATGAAGGAGTGCTTTGATACCGGTCTGATGCAGGCAGGTGATACCACTAGTAGTCTCTTTGGAGATGACCCTTCAGAAGCAACCCTGGTTGGTGAATCCTTTACATCCAAAGGCTCCATAGGAGATGGGTTACATGTGAACAGTGAACCCAGCAGCGGAGACTTCAGCGAGCACTTTGATGGAGATAGTTTCAGCAGCCGCCACAGCAACAAGGTCTTCGATGGCTGCTACGCCATCGGCGACTTCAGCGATCACCTTGGCAACAGGAGCAACCTCTGCTCCAGTATGTCCTCCTCATCAACAGCTAGCTTGTCTTCCCATGAATAATCTGAGATATCTCAGCTTTTTTGCACTTCACTCCATTTTTATCCCCAAACTTGCTTGCCCCGAATATGAGCCTCCATTTTTATATACCATTTGTAAGTTTGATAAACCTCCCTACCCTATGTTTTACCTTTGCAATTTGTAAAGTTCTTTTTATACCTTTTGTAAACTGTATCAACATTTGAATATCATTGGAAGTAATCATTGTGATGTCATTCAAATCATAATTGTTCAATCTCGTTTTTATCAATTGACTATCACTGGCATCAGTTGATTGTTTTCATATTACTTGTTAGATTGTCTGACCATTGTTAATTTTTTTTCTTCCCATTATTATGTGTGATGGGAAACTTGAAGTATGTACATTATCATTATGCAACAGAGAATCTAAGAATGATTTGAATACTTTTTTATTGCTCAGTCACCTAAAGTTATTTTGGTCACAGGTAGGGATATTGATAAGGGATAATGAACTTCATGTTCAGAAATAGGTTAGTGCAATTTGTGAAGGTATTTTTGAACAAACCAAATGGATTTAGACAATTTAAGAAATTTTCTAAACAAGTAAAAGCATTAGCAGTTTCTCCACAAATAGTTTCCAAAATTTGGTGAAACCTTCATGTTAGTCGAGATCAATGTAGATATCTCTTTACTATTGGCAATTAAGTAGCTGACATGTTTTAGAGAAACCAGTGAATGAATTTAAGTAAAGGTAGTTATTTCATTATGGATGAAGAATTGGCTTCATGATACTTCTCAGTTAGTATGATTTGGCAAACGTTAAAGTGTGGGACAAGAAATTATTTTGTATGATCTTACCATGTGCATCGGACAAGTTCAAGCAAGCAGTCATCTAATCATCAAGTCATTATTCTTTCTGTATGTGACAACTACCTCATGATATGTTTCAAAGTGCCACACTCACAATCACAGAATACAGTCTTGCAAAAAAATTGGCATCTGACTTTCATGCTGAACTTGTAGATCTTTGGCGTTGCCAATTTGAACTTAATGTTTTTCTTTTATCGATAGGGACAATCTTAGAGTATAGTCAGTAATGATATTGGAGCATCACGGTAGCATTATTGTATGGTTTTTCTCGTTGTTTTATGTTAACTTTGAAGTGAATATGTGTCCTAGGATTAGTGCAATATCTGTTTAGAGTTTGATGATGTCATCATGTGCTACTGAGTTAATCTTTAACTTGATCATGTTTAATCTCTTGTTTTTCAGAGTCCCAACACTGTACATGTATCGTGCCTATGTTTATTTTTCAGGTATCTCTTCAAGGGTGGTTGCAGAGATAAAGATATGGGGTGGAGATTGCCAGAAAATGACTTAAATTTGGAAATAATTACCCTGTATTAAACACCAAGCAAGGATATCTAAAGACTTTTATAGATTCTTCTCAAACCCAATGATGATAACACGATACCACAGGTCCTTCATGTAATATGGCTTTTAATATAAATGATGTGTTGGCTTAGTTATATAGAGTTTCCATGAACATACCAAAATATGTAAGGATGGGGGTTTTCTTTCTCCTATCATCTGATTTTAGCCATTAAAGAAAAACTACTTCATAATTTTACAATTTTTGGACATATCTGTTGACTAATATGTGGGATTCTGAGTCAACTGATCAATACTGGTGACACATTAAGGTATGAGGTATAAGCTTGAACCAAAGTAAACTCATGAATCTCCGGAACCAAAAATGTATAATTTTTGTCAAGTATTATGAATCACACAGTATCTATACCGTACACTCTCCAGTTTGGACTGCATGTCACAATGGTTTGGGAGTCTCGAGTCTCTGCAACACACTCGTAAGATTGATTTCTATGCACTGATCACTGATGTCTGTCAATCCTCATTTAATTTTGATTTTTAAAGCCAGTCTGTACAGACTCACTCAGGGACGTTCTACTGCATTACATGTGCCATCGGGAAATGGCGATTTTTAAGTTTACGGCATTGACTTTCAAACTTTGTTGTTTGTTTTTCATTTACTTATTCATACATTGCCCTTAAGATGGTTTGAAAAAAATAAGTTTGACAGTTTTGCCTTCTGGATTTGGGTTTGTTGAAGTTTATATATTGCTTGGTGCTAAATTCTGCAGTTTAAATATTTGAAGATGTCTAATTGACCAATTTTATTCTCAGTAAACTGCTGTTGCGAAGGGTACAATTTATTTTTGTGGGGCTGACTCTGAATATTTGATGTTTAGATTTCAAGTTCATTTTGAAGGGGTCATTAAGAGCTTCATTTTCGGTCAACAAATTGGAACTAATTGTTCAGAAGTGGAGGTTTGTTATGTTCTAGTTTGAGCAACTTGTTTAAAAATTCACAAGGTATGAATTAGAAAATACTGTCTTGTACGGAAAGGAGATATAGGAAGATGTAACAAATATGTCAGATTCTGCCTAAAATCTGGACATATTTCCTAAATACTGCAATGATATTTGCATAAAATGCAATCTAAGATAATCATTATTCAAAACATAATATCAAAGTGGAGACCATTCTAAAAGAATATAAGTGATTGAACGTACGGTTTCTGTGTATAGAAAGAGAAAAGAATTGTAAAAAAAATAGATAATATATGTCAAATCAGCATGTTTATGTATTCATATTTATGTACATTAGATGAAATATTCATTAGTTCCACCAGTGTAGTGGAAACTATATTTTCCTTAAATAAAAATAAAGAAACTAAAATTGAAATCATGAATCTTATGATCAAAACTACTCTAAAATAGAAGTAGTTTGCAGAGCAAGAATCTGATATTTTTCAGTTAATTTGCATCTCCATTTGAATTGTGATTTTCTGTTGTGGAAGTCCTTTTTAATTTAGTGATTTTTTATTATCATGTCTGAAATAATTTAATGTATAGGACTGACACAATTTATTGTCGGTTCAACGATTTTCAATTACAATGGTTTGAATGTTTTTAAGTTATTCATTGTTTTTAAGACTTCATTTATGCATATTTCTGTTGTGAGCTTATGTTGTTAATTCAGCATTTGTTTTTTTGTAATTGTTGAAATCATGTGGGCCCAAGAAATGGACCAATTTCACACAAAATATATCATGAAACAAAATCAATTTGTTAGTTGTTGTGATGTAGTTTTCATGAAATTAATGTTTTTCACACAGAGAGATGATGATGATAATTGTGCTAATGATGATAATGATTGTGATAATTATGATGATGATGATAACAGTGATAAAGATGATGATTGAGATGATGATGATAATGATTGGGATGATAATGATGATGATTGTAATGATGATGACAATGATGGTAATGATTATGATGATTGAGATGATGGTGATTTTGATAATGATCGTGATAATGATGACAATAATGATGGTGATCAGAATGGTGATGATGAAGTCGATACTGGGAGACATTGTTGGGGGAGATTGACAATGATAAGATAATGAGGATAGTGATAAGATAATGATGACAATGACAAGATAATGAGGACAATGATAAGATAATGAGGACAGTGATAAGATAATTATAACAATGACAAGATAATGAGGACAATGATAAGATAATGAAGACAATGATAAGATAATGAGGACAGAGATAAGATAATGAGGACAATGATAAGATAATGATGACAACGATAAGATAGTGAGGACAATGATAAGATAATGAGGACAATGATGAAATAATGAGGACAATGATAAGATAATGATGACAATGATAAGATAATGATGACAATGATAAGAAAATGAGGACAATGATAAGATAATGAGGACAATGATGAAATAATGAGGACAATGATAAGATAATGATGACAATGATAAGATAATGATGACAATGATAAGAAAATGAGGACAATGATAAGATAATGAGGACAATGATAAGCTAATGAGGACAACGATAAGATAGTGAGGACAGTGATGAGGTAATGAGGATAATAACAAGATAATGAGGACAACGATAAGATAATGAGAACAGTGATAAGATAGTGAGGACAGTAACAAGATAATAAGGACAATGGTAAGCTAATGAGGACAACGATAAGACATTAATGACAATGATAAGATCATTATGACAGTACTTTGATAATTGGGATAGGTCATATATAGGAGGCGTGATTTGAATGAAGAGGAAGATGATTGTGGTACACAACATGATATCCGTAAATATGACAGTGATTATGACAGTCATGAAGCCATATAAATTGTGAAAATGATTTTTAAGAATCGGAATAATCGATGGTTTGATGATTGATAACGGGAAACTTACAGTGATTGTGATTGTGGAGATATAATAGAGTTCGAGTATGAAAAAACTGTTCGGGTACCATACCGCCCTCTAATTTCTTCATTTGAACATTAAATCGCCTCAAACTCATGAAACGGTAGATTTTACCCATGATTAATATTTAGTAAACAGTTTTTACTATAGTACTCATACAATAAGCTACGCAATCACTGATTTGGCTGCAAATCTTTGATTTCAGCTTGAACCTGAAATCTGACAATTTAATTGATTTGAATTAGTAAATATATGTCTTCCGATCAAAGCTTCAGATACAGTATATAAAAGTTTGGGTTTTGAGATGGCAAAACCCTAATCTTTCTGCCATGTAATTAGTAATAAATTAGTAATGAATTGTCGAAGAAAATTCCATTTATCCTTATCAGTGTATCAGGGATGAATAATATTTTAAATCATGTGACAATTCTGGGCTTTGATAGTACGATGATCACGCGGAAATGAGTTTGATGGGAAGTTGGCCACTTGGCCCCACCATTTTAATTGACTGCTTCAGTACCAAATCAGATGGGGGAAATGTAGAAAGTAGAAAATTGTTGTTTTATACCTGTATTTAGACCTAAATGTGCATAAAATTCAAAGGCAACCAAAAAACCTCTTTCACATTTCTAACGCTACCATAGAGTAACAAAGTGCTAACGTCAAACTTAATCGTCGTCCCGGTTACTGGTTCTAAACAACAGAGCCTGCGCATGAGGTTCGTCGTGAAATCATTCAAGCAGCGGGCTGGAACAGGGCAAATTAAGTGTTTGGTGCTGCTGTGATCACCACATGCATGTTTAACACAAACAAAATTGTTTGGAACCAGCAACCTTGAAGACTTGGCCCATATGACGTCACACTTCAGTACTCTATTGAGTCCCACACTTATCATTTGTTTACAATGCCTGCTGTGCTCTTCTAGACCGCATCATTTCTATTTTAGAATTTGAATGTAAAGAGGCGTTTCAATTTACCATCATAACAATAGCATCAAACCGGATCATGATTTCGATTCACCCTGCGTACTACAGCTGCCTTTAGAGATCAGACCCAAATCGCACTCTCTCGATTTTCCGATCGATATTTCTTTCGTCAATTCTAAATATACATTTCAATCTACATGTACACAGAAATGGACACGACAAATACAGAAGAAGAGGTATTACGTAATCATTGTCGCTTCTTTGTGACCGAGGATGGCTGCTTTTGAGTGGTAAGTGGTCACTCTGGACTAGACAAAAATTGACAAAATAGCAAAGTCATCGTAACCGCTTTAATAGGGACTTTTAGATTTGCGTGGACTGATACGCGTGACGTCCATTCAAGGCAGTGCATTGAAAGGACGTTGATCGTAGCAATCCACATTGTCTCCAAGCTCAAAGAACTTTCTCCTTTCGGCATGTTTCTCCTGTATAGTCAAAGACGATTCTTACTTCTTCTATGCTAATCGTTTGAAGCTATAGAGAATTCGATTCAGCTGCCACGAAAAAATGTCTTCTTTTGTTGATCTCAATTTCGCATGTTGATGAAACATTCTGACGACGGGCAACCTATTGTCCGTTATTCATGCTTTCAGTATGGAAATTTACTATTAAAGGGATAGTACAAATGATCATATGAGTCTAAAATACTGGCAACAAGTGCAATTCTTTTTCTAAAATACAATACGATTGCGAGGCCTGGGTAGATCACAACCGCCACAATAAGATAAGTTGGCTCTGGAATCCCTAATATATAAAATTAGGGCCACTGTAGTGTTTCTAAACTTGTCATGGTTCATATGAAGTAGCAGTATACGCCCCCGCCCCCCCCCCCCCCCACAGTACGCCAATCTTTATCCATACCTCGACTCCCCTGCCTTACATGATAGTATCATTTGTATAGCCAAGCAGCCTTGTACAAGACCTGTTTTACATTTCTAATATGTTCAACCGACGTGCGTATTTTACATAATAATACCAGTTTGTTAGAAAATAGACCAGTTCGCAAAATGTATTGAAATTCTATTCATACATTGTGGTGGTTCCACGAAGACCACTCATGAAACGAATGTACCAAACCTGCTTGACTATTGAAATTAAAATATATTTAATACACCTGCATGGTACCTGATGGCTGCAAAAAGAAGTCATTTATTGAAGCCTTCTCAAAGCAAAATATGTCAATCATAGACATTTATCCCTATCATAATAAACACGATAGTCTCATTTTTATAGCCAAGCAGCCTTGTCCGAAACATGTTTTACATTTCTAATATTCCCTTTTTTATACACACATGATACAGTTAGAAGTCCGTATACTATCATTATACAAAATATGGAATGTTGTCACAAATATCAGCAATATTTTCAGAAAATCCTCGCCAGTATTTTGTTTTAACTTTAAGTGTATCCACCAATGCGGATTTATATATCCCATGATGTTCGGTGGTCGCATGCCGTTAAGCCCCAGTCCCATATAAAGCCGGACCAGCACGGACGAGCACGGACCACTCCGGACCATCCCGGACCATGGTCTGGGGTGATCCGGGATGGTCCGGGATGTTTTGTTCAAAAAATCGCAACCGCCGACCGTCTCCCCGGACCCAACACGGTACCACTACGGACCGCCCCGGACCGTCCGGGCATAGCCCCGGCAGCAGTACAGATCATTCCAGACCCAGCACGGAGCCGCCACGGACCGTCCCGGACCACCCCGGTGCCAACACGGTGCCAACACGGATGACACCGGACCATCCCGGTGCCAACACGGATCATCCCGGATCACCCCGGATGGGGTCCGGGATGGTCCGGGACGGTCCGGGACGTATATGGGACTGTAGCTTTACGGCTTATAATCTTTCTACATCGAATTACAAAGACCACTAGTAGTAGTAGTATGAGGCAATAATTAGCAGTCAGATGGCCTCTATGAAGAGGTTCCTATGATCAATGTTTTAATATGTTACATAGCATCTTCACACCTAGCCAATCTGTGAGTCTCCGGCGGGAAGTGTTCATCTCCTTTGCCTACATACATTGTGTGCAATATAATATTATCGGCCTCATGAACGTCACCCCCCCCCCCCACCCAGTCCGTCGAAACTTGTTTATTTTCTCATTCACAAGTTACCATTTACCGTTTCCAATATCATGCAACACATTAATGCGTTATGCCTTTTCTATATGAACACTCACTTTCATAAGCTATCATTGCCTATATGGGCAATCGCTTATACAGTATTTAGTATTATATTATTGTTCTACGTGAACTTACAACGTTAATTGTGCCTAACACTCTGAACATTATATTTTGACAGATTTCAGTAACTAATGACAACTTATCCTATTAGCTTAACCAGCTCTTCATCAGATTTATAACCGCAGATTCGTCGACAAGGTCGTTTGATTTGTAAATTATTTTTTGGCGGTGAAAATAAAATCCCGACAAATCATTTTGAACACAGTCGCAGATGCTTTCGAAGTGTGTAAATATTACATTGACTTATCAAATAAATCAAGCATAAATTCTACGGGACATGTAAAATGATATTGAAATAAAGTGCTCTTGAGTTGAATTTTTTAAGGAATTGCAGTTGTGTTTATATTATACAGTTAGAACAATATTCCCACGATTTTACATGTTCTTGTCGATCATAATGGTCCACTTTCTATTGACTAACATTTTATCTACGATTGCTGTAGATGGTAGGCCTACATGACATATCTGAATCACGCACATTTATCAAAATGTTGAAATTTGGACCTTTAGGGAAATTTTTCGTTTTAGAGAGTTCACTGATGAGAAAATACAAACTTGTTTTAATTTTTTTTTAAAGAATTCTATTAAACTTCAGGCTTTTATATTCATTTGATGCACCGACTCAGAAGTGCTTATAGTCTCATTTTTAATTTACTTTTGTTTAGTATGTTCCTGATTCCTTGCTTCACTGTTAGTGCATTATATCTGTTGTGGATGGTGTTAGTGGGGATGATGTGCATGTGTGTGCCTTTACTACCCATTTTGGAAAATATATGGTCTATATTTTTTCCTTATATTTTCAGAGTATGGGGATCTCAGGATTTCGTTAAAAGTTTATTGTTTCATTAAATGAGTATAGGTCTATTCGACACCGATTTAGTAGAAATTCCGACAATTTTCTTTGCAGAGCGATTTCACTGTCAGCCCTTTATTTATTTAGTCCAAATGGACATGCCCCTACCATCCGCATTGTAGGCGTACATTGCCCTATCAGCTATGATATCATCTGGATACATCATGAAGGCTATCCATCTCATATCAGTCGTTCTGTTTGAAAAGATGGATCATCTTACACATAGTTGAAACGATAATTCGACGATTTACAAAACCAAATAATGACAAGTCTCTGGCTTATGTTGTTGGTAGTTATTTTATGGCGTTCATTCACTAATGAATATTACGCCATATCTTTAGTTGTACAAGAAAATTCAGTTATCAAAAATGAAAATGAAAATAACAAATTGTAATAATATAATTAATCCACCGGTCTCGCAATTCATTAGGAGTCTCTTGATGGTTTACAACTTCGTAGTTCTGTTTTATCACGTTTAATCTGGTCAGCCCGGTTTCAATTGCATTTAAAGCTTTGCTCGACGTGAAACAGGCTTGTGTATGTAAAATACCAAGCTGTCTCATTAGTGGAAAAATCTTGTCACCTTTCTGTAGTTAGTCTGTTTGACAAACTTTGTTACGTAACGCTAACGTATTGACCCAGCCCCAACTAGGCTGGTATACACTAATTAGTTAATGCATTTGAAAGGGTGTGCATGTTTACTGGACCGCAGTGCAATTCATACAACCAACACACCCACAGACTACCAACCATTTCCGACATTTACGTTGAGCTTGATCCTCGGTGATCATTTTACTTTGTGAGTTTCATTTCGGTTCTAATATCGTAACGGAAAGCTGTTGACTCGTTGACTCTTGGAAACTCGCACTCGTCGAGTAGAAATATCACGTAAGGAGGAAGTCCTGTTAAAAAGAAAACGCCGCAGAAACCTACAAAACTCAAAATGTCGGAACGAGAAGGGGAAAATATGGAAATGGGTGTGATTGGAGAAACCTCATCTAAGGAAGGACTCGGTTGTTGCGGAATCCTACTGACGGTCTTGTCTGTGATAATCGTGATCTGCACGCTGCCATTCTCACTTTTTGTCTGCATAAAAGTGGTGCAGGAGTACGAAAGAGCAGTTATTTTCAGGCTTGGGCGTCTCTTGTCCGGCGGTGCTAAGGGTCCAGGACTATTCTTCATCCTGCCTTGCATTGAAGATTACAGCAAGGTGGATCTTCGTACCATTTCGTTTGATATTCCTCCTCAAGAGATTCTGACCAGGGATAGTCTGACCATCTCTGTGGATGCTGTGGTCTTCTACCGTGTCAAGAATGCTACCATCAGCATCGCTAATGTGGAAGATGCCCCCAAGTCTACCAAACTTCTGGCTCAGACAACTCTTCGGAATGTCCTAGGCACCAAGAACCTGTCCGAGATCCTGGCTGAACGTGAAGGCATCAGTCACTACATGCAGTCCACCCTAGACCAAGACACCGACCCTTGGGGTATCCAAGTAGAGCGAGTTGAGATTAAGGATGTTCGTTTGCCTGTCCAGCTCCAGAGAGCCATGGCTGCTGAGGCTGAAGCTTCCAGAGAGGCCAAGGCTAAGGTTATAGCTGCCGAAGGAGAACAGAATGCTGCTCGTGCCCTGAAGGAAGCTGCAGATACTATGTCGGAATCCCCATGTGCTCTTCAGCTGAGGTACCTGCAGACTCTCAACACCATCTCAGCAGAGAAGAACTCCACCATCATCTTTCCTCTTCCTATTGATCTCTTGCAAGGCATCTTGACTAAGTAATTGAGTCATTTTGGTTTTGATGATCAGTCTTATTATGTTTCTCATAAGAATATACAGGGCGTATCATAATAAAGGATATTGAAGTTTAATGACGATTTATATGAAAACTACTGATTTCATAATCAAGCATTTTATGTCTGTTGTAAAGGACAGAATGTCCTCTTGTTAATGACACCCCGATCATACTACTACTGTCACAGTTGACTGAATAACAAAGCATTGCTGTCCACCATGTGAAAGGTGCACTGTGACAAGTTAGCATTCACAGATAAATTCTAAAGATTAGTGCTTGTGTCAGCCCAGACATATTGAAATGCTGAACAGTGAGTGGATTATGTGTCTAAGAAGGAAATGTTATCAAACTTGGCACAGTGCACCTTTCACATGGTGGACAGCAATGCTTTGTTATTCAGTCAACTGTGACAGTAGTAGTATGATCGGGGTGTCATTAACAAGAGGACATTCTGTCCTTTACAACAGACATAAAATGCTTGATTATGAAATCAGTAGTTTTCATATAAATCGTCATTAAACTTCAATATCCTTTATTATGATACGCCCTGTATATTACGTTTTATTTTATAAATATCTTAACATCCTATGATCTTTCCTCTACCTATTGATCTCGTGCAAGGCATCATGAAGTAAACAATCACCAGTGTGCCAGACGTCTTGGAGATGCAAAGGAGACATCTATTTCTCACAATTATTGTTATGCTGTTATATGCTATCCGATAACTTTATTTGGGGCACAACTGCCATTGATGGAAACAAAAGCAAAATAAATCCACAACACTGTTTTTGTGATTACTATAATATTTTGTACTTTTTGTAGAATTCGATTAATTTAATGGGTGGAGTGGATAACTTTAATTTTTTTAATATGTATTTCTATCAATGTATTTTTATTGCTGTGATATTTCTATTGCTATGGTATTTTGATATGAAATCATGTTACAGATGCTAATACCAGTAAATTCAAAATACATAAGCAGATCAAACAAAATATAACTCATGTAAAATCTTATTTATTATCTGTTGAATTTTTACTTACTTGATTTTACCTTTTTCCTGTTTATTTTGAAACATAATTATTAAAAATCGGATCATTTTATGAATAAGTTACCCATTAATGTTATTGTTTCATTATTGTACTATTTGGTAGGTCACGAAAAATACAGCTTTATTCATTGCAATATTTTTTATAGATGGGCCGTTTTGATTTACAAGCGCCTTCCGAAAAGTTGGAATGAGCATATTCGTTTTTGTAAATAATGTTAAGAATTGGTAAAAAGGATGATACAGGAAGTTGTACTATTCAAAGTAGATTGAGTACTGTTTTATCATATTGGACAGATTATTGGGTAGCACGGATTTTGTTTCAACTTCGTTGTCTACTGTTTGACTAATCTTAAACGCAATTATGCATTTAGAATGGTAAAGCAAATGATGCAAACCTTAAGCAAACCTTAAGGGCGTGTATAAATTCTATTAGCAAACATCTTTTTTATTTGTTGTACTATTACGTCATAATCTATACAACTAATCTCTATCTTACTCAAATATGTATACCCTCACAATTAAGAAATGATGAGCAAAACCCAATAAGTACCCACGCATACTTGAAATGATATATCGATACGCCTAGGTCATGTTATTGTTATCAACGTAATTATGTGGGTCCATGAGGCCAAATTAATACTCAGTCTTACAGTCTTACAGTCTTACAGGCATACACTGTTTTTCTAGGTCTTCAAACACCAAAAAGGGGTTTATGTCCCGTCTACTCTATTCTGGAAAAGCCCATATGTGAAGTTTTTTATCAGCATTTCTGTTGTTCTTAAACATCTAACACCTCTCATCTCTGTCAGTTCCACACCCTTGCTGTTGTTTCATACGATAAATAAATGGTATATTTATTACAAGATGATTAAGTCTTTGCAACATTTTGGAGACGATGAGGTCTGTAATTGCATTTTAAATTGGGCGTTTTCTCTGTTATGAGAAATCATTATGTTCCCCCATTTTTGAAATAAACTTGTACATCCATGTTATTCTTTTGCATGGGCTTTGCATGATTCACGGTTGCTTAGTGTGATTCCTTACTTATATTTCACCCTAAATATGTATTTATATTATATTAGCACAAGGCCAAGGGTCAATAACAACATGACCTTGCCATTGTATGTTGCAATGTTTTTATCTTTTATATGATCACAATACCATTCCTGTAATATTTTGTATTGTTTCTACCAATTATGTAATACTTATATTAGTAACAGAAACGTTAGTATTATAATAGTAATTTATTTACTAGGACATTGTTAATTTCACTGCACCGCACTTCAACAGACGTATGTTGGTTAAATAAATGCAGGTCAGTCTGTAAAATATTTGTTTTTAATATTTGAATCTCATTTGTACGAGTGATTATGAATTTGGGATGTATATTTTGAAGTTGCCTTATTGGTTTTCCAGTTTCATCCAGGACATTTAAACAGGAATGGTTAAACGATATTAGAAAAAAATGACCATACAAATTCTTTATTTTTGTTCAACCTATAACATAAATGACAGAAATTTGAATTGATTAGAAGGGTGAGAAAGGAAGAAGTATTGAGGAAAATTGGATACTGAGCTTACGAGAGAGATAAAAAAAAAAAGAGACAGAGACAGAGACAGAGAGAGACAGAGATAGGGAGGGAGAGAGATGGAGATAGAGAGAGAGAGAAAGAGGGAGGGGGAGCGCGAGCATGAATATTTGTAGCAGCATACTAATGTCGGGCTGAAAAGGGGGATAGACATTCCCTGACTTTTATTTCAGAAAATAAAAATTGTAATTATCTTTAACAAAAGTCTAGCAAAATAAAATGCTCCCAATACAACACTTTTGAAACAGGAAGAGAACGGAGAAGATAAAGAGAAAGAAAGAAAAAGGGGTCGAGAGAAAAAGAGAGAGAAAGATAGGCAAGGGGCGAAGAAAGTATAAGAAACTTTTAAAAAGGAATAAAGAAAGGTATCATAGTACTATGATGACACAATTTGAAGAGCAATTATTTTTAGAGTTGAAGAGATCAGTCATCTTTTGTTAAATTGTGATAATAAGATTTTCAAAAACCCTTCTTTTTGTACTCATTAGTGCTCATGTACAGTAATAGTCTACTAGCTGGTGGCAAGCATAGTCTATATTTCCTTCAAAACGTGACTTTGTCTCTTTTGTCTATTCTAAAATATTCCTGTTGAGCTTCCAAATGATTAGGGAATGAATAGATTAATTTATTTATATACCGTATACTATTATCTAGATCTATTAGGAATAAATCATTGTCAAAATAATTCCATCTATTGGGGTAAAAAAAAATATTCGAACTTTATGAGCAACAGTGTAATAGTCTACCAGCTAGTGACACGCATAGTCTATGTCTCTTTTGTCTATCCCAGGAAATTCTTGGTGAAGTTCCCAATGATAAGAGAATTAATAGATTAATTAATTCAGATTAAATGACTTGGCAAGTTCAATAACACCAATCCGGAACCCTATATATTATTCAGATCAGCGGTTGTTAGTCACGGAGGGAATGACACTGGTGTCGGGGGCCGGGGAGGGGGAGGTGGGAGGGGGTGGTGGATGTAATATGAGGCAGCAAAGCAACCCATACGGAACAGTGTAGGGAGAGTATCATGTTATCTATTCCTGTTCTCCATTTTTATTTCCTCTTTGATGATTTTTTCTTCTTTCCGTTATCTATTATTCGCATTCCCTTCACACGGCTTGTCTCCCGTTTTCCCATTCTCCCTCTTGTTTTGCCATTTTCTTAAGATGTACTTGCCCCCATGTTCTCCGCAATGCAGCTGCTGTGCCTGATGGGGATTTTGAACCATCCGTGTATATAATTATGAAGGCTGTTATTCCATTTTGATTTTAAGAGTCGATACTCCTTTGTCTCATTTCATGTGGGGTATCATTTTTTCTTATTGATTCATTCAGTTCAATGGATATTGGGGGAGTGTAGTTGTGCCAGGAGGGGATGCGAAGTGGTATTACCTTTTCTGTAGTTGACTCTATCATTTGTTCATCTTTTATTCTCAATCCAAAAGATTGTCTTACTTTTTTCATTTTTTAGCTTTACAAATTGCCAACATGGTCGGATATTTAGTTTTAATGGGTGGTTTTTCGAACGAGAAAGGTGGACGTGGTACTTTTCAGTCAGCATTTTTCCTTCTTTACTCTAGAGGGGGCTCGTCCATTTCCATCTGTAGGGTGGCGAGGGATGTACCGTGTAGAGCACTTGCGCAATACCGGTACGTCAGGACATGTATTGTATCGAGTTAAAAACTTTTTTTAAACTTTCGTTTGCCGAGTCATATGCCTCGCATCCATAGTTTAACAGTGATCTGATTAGAGATCGATAGAGCATAAGTAGTGTTTTCGTGTTGTTTTCCAACTTGTACCGGCGACGCTTTTCAGGTTATTAATTTTTTTCTGCACCTGTTTCTGATATCTTGAATATGGGCGTTCCATGTCAGTTTTCTGTCAAATGTGACACCAAGAAATGTAGAATCGCAGTCCACTCCAAAAATAACTTACTTTCAATAGAAGGAGAAAAATCAGACAAACCAATCAAAAAAAGTTTGAGCAAAATCGGATTACTAATAAGAAAGTTATGAATGTTTAATAACATGATAAACTTTTTAAAATCAAAAGACAAATTAGCAACTCACTCATGGATTGAGTGGTTTGGTTTCTAGATACTGTTGGTAGGCCTGTATGTTTTTCTTCATGATTTTCTGTGTGACTTGTATGAATTCGTTTTAGTATTCTTCTGTGTTTTCATTTGGAGTTAATTTTAGATATATATAGCTCTATGTCGCATAATTGTTCAAATGCTTTCCAGTCTGCTTTTTTTGTAAGGGGGGATGATCGATTCATTCAAGGCCCCCCTGAACAATAGGTATTACGTAAGGATCTACGCACTGCCTCTTGTCTCTGTAGTGGCGTTTGTCCACTTGACAACCTTACAACGCCAACGTATTCACCGAGGCAAGTATACAAGCATTTGAACGGGTGTGCGTGAAAACAGACCACAGCGCGATCTTGCTTACACCCAACGCAACAGACTTCCGACCATTTCAGACAATTATTAAGTTGAGCATTTTACTTTGTGAGTACATGTTTTTCACCTCATCTCGGTTCTAATTTCGTAACGCGAAGCTATTGACTCTGTTGCAAACTTGCACTCGTCGAGTAGAAATAGAAGGTAGAGAACGACGTAAACCTACATGATTAAAAATGTCGAAACGAGGAGATGAAAACATGGAAATAGGAGTGATTGGAGAAACCTCCTCGAATGAAGGTCTCGGGTGTTGTGGAATCCTACTGGCGATCATCTCAGTGATATTCGTGATCTGCACGCTGCCATTCTCACTGTTTGTCTGCGTAAAAGTGGTGCAGGAGTACGAAAGAGCAGTTATCTTCAGACTTGGGCGTCTCTTGTCCGGCGGTGCTAAAGGTCCAGGACTGTTCTTCGTCCTGCCTTGCATTGAAGATTACACCAAGGTAGATCTCCGTACCATTTCGTTTGATATTCCTCCTCAAGAGATTCTGACTAGGGACAGTCTGACCATCTCTGTGGATGCAGTGGTCTTCTACCGTGTCAAGAATGCTACCATCAGCATCGCCAATGTAGAAAATGCAGGGAATTCAACCAGACTCTTGGCTCAGACAACACTCCGTAATGTCCTGGGCACCAAGAACTTGGCCGAGATCCTGGCTGAACGTGAAGGCATCAGTAACTACATGCAGTCCACCCTAGACCAAGACACCGACCCCTGGGGTATCCAAGTAGAGCGCGTTGAGATCAAGGATGTTCGTTTGCCTGTCCAGCTCCAGAGAGCCATGGCTGCTGAGGCTGAAGCTTCCAGAGAGGCCCGGGCTAAGGTGATTGCTGCTGAAGGAGAACAGAATGCTGCTCGTGCCTTGAAGGAAGCTGCAGATACTATGGCAGAATCCCCAGCGGCCCTTCAGCTGAGGTACCTGCAGACTCTCAACACCATCTCAGCAGAGAAGAACTCCACCATCATCTTTCCTCTTCCTATTGATCTCTTGCAGGGCATCTTGACTAAGTAAAACAGTCATATTGGTTCTGATGATCAGTCTTATTATATTTCTCATACGAATATATATTACGTTTTATTTTATAAATATCTTAACATCCTATGATCTTTCCTCTACCTATTGATCTCGTGCAAGGCGTCATGAAGTAAACAATCACCAGTATGCCAGATGTCTTGGCAAAGGAGACGTACATCTAGCTCTCACAAAAATTGTTATGCTGTTATATGCTATCCGATAACTTTATTTGGGGCACAACTGCCATTGATGGAAACAAAAGCAAAATAAATCCACAACACCGTTTTTGTGATTGCTATAATATTTTGTACTTTTTGTAGAATTCGATTAATTTAATGGGTGGAGTGGATAACTTCAATTTTTTTGTATCAATGTATTTCTATCTATGTATTTTTATTGCTGTGATATTTCTATTGCTATGGTATTTTGATATGAAATCGTGTTACAGATGCTAATACCAGTAAATTCAAAATACATAAGCAGATCAAACAAAATATAACTTATGTAAAATCTCATTTATTATCTGTTGAATTTTTACTGACTTGATTTTACCCTTTTCCTGTTTATTTTGAAACATAATTATTAAAAATCGGATCATTTTATGAATAAGTTACCCATTAATGTTATTTTTTCATTATTTTACTATTTGGTAGGTCACGAAAAAATACAGCTACAATCATTGCAGAATTGGTAATAGATGGGCCGTTTTGATTTAAAGCGCCTTACGAAAAGTTTGAATGAGCATATTCGTTTTTGTAAATAATTTTAAGAATTGGTAAAAAGGATAATACAGGAAGTTGTACTATTCAAAGTAAATATAGTACTGCTTTATCATATTGGGCAGCTTAAATATATTTAAGAATGTGTAGCACGGATTTTTGTTTCAACTTTGTTGTCTACTGTTTGACTAATCTCAAACGCAATTATGCATTTTGAGTCGTAAAGCACATAATGACAAACCTTAAGGGCGTGTTTAAATTCTATTAGCAACCATTTTTTTTATTTGCTGTACTTACGTCATAACCTACTAATCTCTATCTTACTCAAATATGTATACCCTCACAATTAAGGAATGATGAGCAAAACCTAATAAGTACCCACGCATACTTGAAATAATATATCGATACGCCTAGGTCATGTTATTGTTATCAACATAATTATTTGAGGCCATGAGGCTAAATTAGTATATTACAACTCGGACAGGCATACATTGTTTTTCTAAGTCTCAATCACGATAATAAGGGGCTTATGTCCCGTCTACGCTATGCTGGAAAGCCAATTATGTGACTTTTTTAAAATCAGCATTTATGTTCTTAAACATTTAAAACCTCTCCTCTCTGTCAGTTCCCCACCCTTGCTGTTGTTTCATACGATATCGAAATTCTATATTGATTACAACATGATCAGGTCTATGCAAAATTGGGCGTTTTTTCTGTTAAGAGAAATCATTATGTTCCCCCATTTTTAAAAATTAACTTGTACATCCATGTTATTCTTTAGCACGAGCTTTGCATGATTTACGGTTGCTTAGTGCGATTCCTTTCTTATATTTCCCCCCGAATATGTATTTATATTATATTAGCACAGGGGTCAATAACAACATGACCTTGCCATTGTATGTTGCAACGTTTTTATCTTTTATATTGTCACAATACCATTTCTGTAATATTTTGTATTGTTTCTACCAATTATGTAATACTTATATTAGTAATAGAAAAGTTAGTATTAATAGTAATTTATTTACTAGGACATTGTTAATTTCACTGCACCGCACTTCAACAGACGTATGTTGGTTAAATAAATGCAGGTCAGTCTTTTAAATATTTGTTTTTAATATTTGAATCTCATTTGTACGAGCGAGTGATTATGCATTTGGGAGGTATATTTTGAAGTTGCCATATTGGTTTTCCAGTTTCATCCAGGACATTTAAACAGGAATGGTTAAACGATATTAGAAAAAAATGACCATACAAATTCTTTATTTTTGTTCAACCTATAACATAAATGACAGAAATTTGAATTGATTAGAAGGGTGAGAAAAGAAGAAGTATTGAGGAAAATTGGATACTGAGCTTACGAGAGAGAGAAAAAGAGAGAGAGAGAGAGAGAGAGACAGAGAGACAGAGATAGGGAGGGAGAGAGAGAGAGAGAAAGAGAAAGAGGGGGAGGGGGGGGGGGGAGCGCGAGCATGAACATTTGTAGCAGCATATACTGGGGCTGGGAAGGGGGATAGACATTCCCTGACTTTTGTTTCAGAAAATAAAAATTGTAATTATCTTTAAAAAAAGTCTAGCAAAATAAAATGCTGTCAGTACAACACTTTTGAAACCGCCTCTGAAATAGGAAAAGAAAGGAGGAGATAAAGAGAAAGAAAGAAAAAGGGGTGGAGAGAAAAGGAGAGAGAAAGATAGGCGAGGGGCGAAGAAAGTAAGAAACTTTTAAAAAGGAATTAAGAGAGGTATCATAGTACCATGATCATGATGACACAATTTGAAGAGCAATTATTTCTAGAGTTCAAGAGATCAGTTAGCTTTTTTTAAATTGTGATAATAAGTGTAACCCGAATGTCACAATTTCCCAGGTCCATAAATAAAGAAATTACACTTGAGGTTACGTTTTAACAAAATAGCCTGGCAATGCCTTTATTAGCTCGTTGTCAATAAACAACTGTAAATCAAGTACACATTGGAATAAAAAAAACTTCCACAACTTACAAAACTAAACCCATTTACTTTAACTATAACACTAAAGGTATCAAAAGTTATTACTAAGCTGGCAATTATTTAAATATTAAAGTAACCAAATTATTAAATGCTCATGAGCTCGCTCGCGATACGCGGTCGATCAATATCCGGCGTCTCTGTGTCGTCGAAGAGGACGCCGCAGCACGCAGAAAACAGGAACAAGTTGAACGATAGCTTGAAGCTTGATGAGATTCATCAATTAAAAGTCCCTAGTAAAAGACCGACCTAGTAAAAGATCCACCTAGTAAAAGAGCATAATAAACAGAACTCTTCTAATAAAACATTCCTTAACAGAGGGAAAGATAAATATATATATATATAACAGTCTAACAACTAGCTCGTCCCTTAATAGATTAAATAAAGGAAAGAATAAGAGTTTGCCTCTTGCTTTATCTAATTAACTTTGGAAGAATCAATGCGATTCTTTCAACTAATTTACTCAGTTATACCTCGGTTTAATTCATGATTAACATGATACAACCCTTTTCAAAATAGTACTTATCCCACATTAGTAAATATATATAAAATATGTATACATCACAATAATTGCATGCAATGAAGATGGCATAGTACACCAACTGTTCAGTAGAGTTTTCATTCATATCATTATGAGCTATAATGAATGCGATGGGATGCCACAGATAGATAGTTCGATCTATCTAATCGACCTGACCATATCGCTTGATTTAGAATTTGCCAAAATAACATTTGACTTTTACAATTAATGGAATGATCGCCAAAATCAATCGATAAGAGAGAGAGAGAGAGAGAGAGAGAGAGAGAGAGAGAGAGAGAGAGCAAAATAAAATGCTCCAAACCAAACACTTTTGAAACCGCCTCTGAAACAGAAAGAAAAAGGAGGAGGGGAGGTGAGAAAGAGAAAGAAAGAAAGAAAAAGGGATGGAAAGAAAGAGAGGCAAGGAGCGAGCAAAGTAAAACACTGATAAAAAGGAATAAATGTACCATAATGGCACACTTTGAAATGCAATTAATTCTAGAGTTCAAGTGATACGTTAGCTTTTGTTAAATTGTGATAATAAGATTTTCAAAAGCTTTTTTTAATACACATTATAGTGCTCATGTAATAGTCTACTAGCTATAGTGACAAACTAATGTCTCTTTTGTCTATCCTAGGAAACTCCTGGTGAGCTTCCCAATAATAAGGGAATTGATAGATTAATTAATTCAGAATAAATGACTTGGAAAGTTCAATAACACTAATCCGTAAACCGCCATGTATTATTCAAATCAGCGGTTGTTAGTCACGGGTGGAATGACACTGGTGTCGGGGGGGGGGGGGAGGAGGGGGTGGGGAGAGATGGTGGATGTAATATGAGACAGCAAAGCAACCCATAAAAAAGAGAGTATCCTGTTATCTTTTCCTGTTATTCATTTTTATTTCCTATTTGATGATTTACTTTTCCGTTATCTGTTATTCACAGTCCCTTCATATTTCCCCTTGTCTCTCCTTTTCCCATACCCCTCCCCCTTTCTTGTGCTTCATGTTCTCTGCATTGCTACGCCACTGGCACAATGCATTCATAAGTACCTCCAGGTCAGCGCAATCATCCTTGGGCGCAGAAAATTCAATTTTTAACGCTCTACCGTCGACGGTACATTAATTTCATCTCACTCCCTCACTCTCTCCCTTACTGACGACCGGCTATTTTTCTCATTGTCAGTCCAGAGACATGCCATAATCCCATCTCTATCCATTGAAATGCATACGAGCTATTGACCACAATATCCAGGGATATGTATATTGCCGTCGTAAATAATCGTATTGTCAAAGTAAAATGCATGACACCCAAAGTCATAAATATTACATTGATATTGATGTTTTATATTTGTGTCCCTTTTACCCACCGACTGCCATGCACGCTCGGCAACTCCTTTTGAACCCTAGGACTTACTTCTTGCAAATTATTATGCCATTTAATGATTAACAAAATATCCCTTCTTTGTGATATATTTTTGTTTGTTGTTTTTGTTTGTTGATTATCATTTCCTTATTATGTGTTAATATATTAGGGAACTACAATTGAACAAGGCCTCGGGGCTGTATTTATTTATTGTGTTGGTTATCATTTCCTTATTGTGTGTTAGTATATTAGGGAACTATAATTGAACAAATCCTGGGGGCTGTATTTATGTATTGTGCTGGTTATCTTTTCCTTATTGTGTGTTAGTATATTAGGGAACTACGATTGTACCAGGTCTAAGGGCTTTATTAATATAGTTCCTCCTTTTCATTTTCAAATTCTGTGTATGATTTATTTGTATGTATATTGATTGTACTTTTTAATCGAGAATGAAATGAATGAATTTGAATTGTCAATGTTTATTCTGGGTTTTTCTGGATCCATTTGATTGTCAAATTCGATTTTGCTTTTCAAATATGAATGAGAAGTGATATTTTAAAAAACCACAAGTTATATTGCAATCTTTCTGTTTGACTTTTACCTTATATTTTTAATGTGATATATTCCTTTTCGCGAAAATGTTCTTTAAAAGCTTGATGTACTGTATCTCTGTTTTCCATTATCAAAAAGATGTCTTAGACTGGCTCTATCGCTCAACCCCATCCTCTCTCACTCTCTCTTAATTTTTTTCTCTCACCCTTACTCTCTATTTCGTCCTGATTCTTTCTTACTTTAAATTGCTCTTTCGTGTTTCCTCTCTTATTGCCACTCTGTCCAATATAATTCCTTTCTCCTTGTAATTCTACCTTTCTTTCTTTCTCATTTCTGATCTCTCATTCTCTCGTTACTCTCTCCCTCTCTCTCTCTCTCTCTATTGTCTTTCTCTCTTCCTTTGTTTATTGCTACCTCATCTCCTTTTCCCCATCCACTCGTACTTTATCGTCCTCCGCTCTTAAAGGGATCCGGTAACTTTGTCTCTGATTCTGAAACAAAATTCTGGATTTAGCTCATGCTGCAATGATAATTATAAACCTTTTAGGTCAGTATGAACCCCATGACTTTTACAAGCCGATCGCCTGTCTGATTATAAAGATATTCATGATTGGAATTACAAACACTACCGTCTATTGGGGAAAACGAGTATGGGAAAACCGGTCACTCAAAGATTTTTACTTTTTTGAGGCACTTCTTGATCATTTTGAAGCGCAATTTTTGTTAGGGCTTCAATATTACACCATATCACAGACACTGATAACACGTAGGGCCGTGTATCTCAGTTTTCTCTGACTTTTTATCATTCCGCTAGAATAACGATCCTTCCCTTGACAGCGTGTCCACAAACAAAAAGAATTTTCCAGAAACTCTATAAAGAAACGTCGTATAAGGAATCATCGTATAGCAAAGGGGGAACTACAAAATAAATGTAACAGGAACTATTTAAGTAAAAAACAGTTTTATTTCCAATTTAGAAGTAGTTATCACGTTTTCACCATATCCATATTTATAAATAGTATCTAAATAAAAAGATAATAATCATACAAAGAAACATAACCACAGAGTTGTGAATAAACAATCTATACAGAAGATGTGTATGTGAAGGTAGATAGTGATCTAGTACATGCAATATATGAGAGTATAGTCTATTACGTGTTGTATTTCTCGTATATTTTTTTTAAACAGAAGTATACTCGAGTGCTTGGGTGTGAAGAAAACAAAAATATGGCAACATGTTTATGAATTAGTAATTATTTGTTTGGGATATGTCATGCCTTATTATAAACGCCATTTCCCATTAGGATAAACCACAATTTCTCAGATATTAGTTAAAATGCATAAAATGCATATATCATGCCTCATAACCAGTGAGACTAAACAAATATTAAGGTATGCATTTCGCATTCTGACCATTGAAATACAATAATTCATAACATGGCACTTAACAACAATGTATGCATTTAATTTTATTGGAATACGGAAATGGTCTATTAGCTTTGGACAACACAGGGAGCAAAAGACTTCCACAGGTTTGGATATATTCAACATTCTAACAGAAATATTATGTATTTTCTAGAACACCAGATATTCAATAAGAAAGTTTTATCTACTGACGAAGCCTCCAACACTGCTGCTATCCTTTCGAATGACTTTTTATTTG